TTTAAGGAAGACATCTCGGTGTAAGAGACGCTGCTCAGCAGCTGTGATCACTGGTGTGCTCCTTTGAATTGTCAGTGCTCTTTCTTACAGTTTCTTTGTTCTGCTTTTTAACGATGACCAGATCTCACATGTTATCTCCTCTCCTTAAATACATGGGCTTCTGCATTAGCTCAGAAGACACAATTAGATCTGCTGCTACTTGTTTTGCAGAGAAAAGCGATTAAGTGCAGATTAAGCTTTGGGTAGATTGCAAATGAAGGAAAACAAAAGAGCAGAACAGGACCTTCTTAAAAGGGAATGTTTTGAATTTGACTGGCTGTATTTTGGACCCAATAGTACACCAGACTATCAACAGTACAATGAAGCTGACAGCCTAGGATCATAGGGTCATTCAGGCTGGAAGGAACCTCAAGAGGTCTCTGGTCCAGCCTCCTTAGCTGAGAGCTCAGGGCTTTGTCCAGCTGTGTCTTGAAAACCTCCAAGGACTGAGATTGCACAACCTCTCTGGGCCACCAGATCTAGGGCCTGACTGTTTTCACTGGGAAAAGGGTTTCCTTACATCCAGTCTGAACTTACTCATGTTTTACCCGTTGCATCTCCTCCTCCCACCCAAACCCCACTGCGAAGAGCCCGGCTTCATCTTCTTGCTGACCTTCTGGGTGCTGGGGGGGGGTTGCTGTTAGGTTCCTCTTGAAAGCTGTCTCTGCCCCAGGCTGAGCTAGCCCTCATCCTTCAGCCCCTCCAGGGTAAGTGCTCAACCCCTGACCACCTAAGGGGCCCCTGCTAAACTCACTGCAGTTTACCATCATCTTTCTTTTACTGGCGGATGCAAAACTGGGCATGATACTCTAGATGGAGTCTTAACGAGTACAGAGTAAGGAGAGGACGATCAGTTCCCTCCATCTGCTGGCTCTGCTCCTGGTCACACAGCCCGGGATGTTGTTGGCCCTCTTTGCTGCCAGGGCACTCTGCTGGCTCACGGCTCCCTGTCTGCCAAGATGCCCAGGGGCTTTTCAGCAAAGCTGCTCCCCCCAGTCAGACCCCAGCCGACACCGGCACCGCTGCAGGGGCCTCCTCCGTCCCAGCTGCGGGACCTTGCACTTATCCCTTTTGACTTTCATAAGGTTCCTGTCAGCACATTCCTCGGCCTGTCTAGGTCCCCCTGGGTGGCAGCCCTTTCCTCGAGCGCAGCAACTGGCTCTGGCATTACGCAAGTGCTGTGGATTACTAAATTGTCAAGAGAGTGAACAAACCACAGAAAGCAAGCAGATTCCCTCCCTTCCCATTTTTAATCTCTTCCATTTGCTGAATACTTGGAGATCTACTTGTAGCAGTAGAGCAGAAAAAAGAAATGTGTAGGCTTAAGTATTGTGTTTAAATTGATAGCATAATCCTAAATTTGTATTGGCTCAGCTGCTTTTTCTTCTAAATAGGGAAAAATATGTGATTTGGGATCACAGTGTGGGAGGAGTTAGAGCTAGAAAATACCTGACAGGTCATCTAGTTCATATGCAATGCCGGATTCCTCTGACCAGTACATTTTCTAATGTGTTGTCTGTGTGTTGCAGAAGTGTCAAGTACTGGCATTTCCTTCATTCCCTTGGAGGTTAACTGCATCTCACTACGAAGACGTTTTTTCATTATACTCAACATAAGTGTTTCTTTTCTTAATTTCTTCTATTATCCTAAGTATCACTTGCGTAATCCCTAAGCAACCTAGCCGTTGGTGTTTATGTGGTAAATATTGTAAAATTGTATGCTTAACTGGGTTTGTTCTGCTATAGCATTCATAGCCGGTCAGTTGAATTTTTGCCATTAGATGTCACTACGTGTACAGCAGGCTGTTCTTAAAAGACGTGATTTTTATTTAGCCTCCCGGAAAAATGGAGGAGGGAATTGGGAGATGTAGGAGAGAGTCTAGTAGTATGCTTTGAGGGAACTACTTCTTAAACAGTATGTTGGATATGCCTTTACTAAAAGCAGCACAGAAGGAAACATAAGATTTTTGACTTAACTCCAACAACCAACAGATGATGCTGTGACCTTAAGCATATATAAATATGTTTAGCAGCTGCTGTGTAACATATTTATAAGTGTTTAGTGACCTGGAGGTTAATCAAAATGAGTTCGGTGATCTCAGCTCAGTTCTTAATGGACTCCACTTCATATTATAGCACTGATGCAGCACAATTTGTCACAGTCGGTAGTCTTTACTCAAAGGAGGCCCACTGTGGAGTGAGAATTAAAGGCTGAAGTAATACCTGATTATTTCTCCCTAAAGAAACTTTCCGTTCCAAGCCATCATAGAGCAGAATAATATGTGGAGGAGCTCTGTACTACACACTGCACCCAATCTCAGGGTACAATAACGCTTACTCTTACAGGATGTCGCCTTTCAGTGTTACTGAATGAGCTCGCACATGCTGAGGTCAGTGCTCTGATAGGGGACCTGGGAAGGACAAAGTTTGCCAGGGATGGTGCTGAGTCTTTTCTCTTGCTGGGCTCTTCACAGAGATGGAGAGTTGTGTCCATTTCAAGTGCAGCATTACACAGGAGGATGAAAGGGAAAGGTATTGCCTTGCCAGATGAAATTTTGGAATTAGGTTCTGCCATTCAGGTCTTTCTGGGTACAGAAAGCAATTTTTTTTTAGACTTCAGCTGTTTTCTTTCTGTCCTGGACAAAGCTAGTATATTCCTTTTATTCAATTTCCACTCTCCGTCTCAACTGGAAATAGTTTCCTACTTTTTGATTTAGAACTGTTGTACAGCAGTATGCTTTCATGAGCTACAATTGAGATTGATGTCCATAGTGGGTAACATAAAATAGGTGGTACCTCAATTTGAGACAATGAACAGCCCCACAGCTTAGAAGATAAACATGCTATAGGAAGTAATAGTATTGAAATATTAGTAGGTAGGGACCAATTTCAGCTTACCTGCAAGGTGTGTATCTCCTGTGTATTTTTAAAGCAAAAGAAGGTCATTGGAGAGATAGATACCCATAGAGGCTTCTGTCTTTTCCAGAATCCCAGCATTACTCCATAAAAGTACCTTTCAAAATGTATTACTTCTTTTTCTAAAGTGTAAAAATGCACTTGCACACTTTCTTCATATTCACTAGTAACGTCACCCAGTAACAGAAAGGATCTTCCCTATCCAGCATAGAAGGAACTTCTCAGGTAACTGCTTTTGTTGAAATATAGCAATTTTCAGCTAAAAAAGGGGGGTGGGGGTGTTTAAGATACAGTATTTACATAAGAAAAGCTTGATTGTGTGACTGAAATCTTTTAAAGTTGTTGCCAAATGGTCCTGCTCTTCTCTTTTCCCTTTGTATTTTCCCTTGGAGCATAGCACCACTGCGCATTTTAAATCTTTTCCCTCCACCACTCATTGCAAACTTCATCAGGGAAATGACATTGTATGGCAGTTGTCTCCTTCATATCAAAAGAAAGCCTTTGCCTCTTTGCATGAGTGAAGAAAAGTTAGTCTTCAGAGAGCAAAGGACGAAACTGACTTGGAAAAAGATGCTTTATTTAGATAACACATTCTCTTTTCCTTGGAAGAAATTCACAATGTGTCAAGAAAAATTAGGCCAGATAGTGCTTTAATGGTCTTCCTCCTGCACCTCCTAAAAAAGAAGTCCATTTCTACCAATTGCATTAGGAATCTGCCATGCATTTGGAGAAGACAAGAAGCCATTGAAGTTATTCAGGGTTGTTGGTCGGGGGTTGTCTGTTTTGTTTGAATACTGTGTAATAATGAAAAGCAGAATTTATACCAGAACTCCATCTTCCTACCAGGACATGCAGCTTTCCCTGCCTGTAGGATAAAATTAAATGCTTTGTTTTTCCTGAGAAATGGTACCAAAGCTATGTAAAAGGGTAGTTGCTTCCTTTCTTGTCTCCTTTATTTGGAAAACCAGCATAAATTTACAGGGGGTATACTGAACAAGTAGATCTGATTTTTGTATTTTCCTATGTAGGCTATGAATATACAAGTAAGTATATTTTTGCATGTGCTTTTATTTATACATATGATTTCATATGTGTAAGTCTATATCCATACACATATCATAATATGTGCAGCCTTAACTATACCAAGAAAAGGTAAATAATTGTATTATGGATTAAAAGAATAAAAGGTTATTTTTGAAGTTGGATTATTTTCTTCCTTGGGCCTCAGTTTATCTATAGAATTGGATAAATCGAGTACAAAGTGTACTTAGATACTTTCTAGAACTGAAGAGTAGATGAGGTTTAGCCTTCAAAAATTATTTGGTTTGAAGATCTTCACATCTGAAGACGTGGAAAATTAGGTGAGGGCTTCATTCAGGGCAGTTTTTCAGGCAAACTTAAGTCTCAGTCATGGAAGCATTATACAGTTATGTGGTTAATTTTCAAAAGCAAAATACTTCTGCTGAGGTTTCTTCTTTCAAGAAAGTGTAGTATGTATGTGGTTTTTTGAAAGATTGGACATAGATGGCACGTACAAAAGAAGAATATTGTATTCAATGCAATAACATCAGATACGGGAATCTGAAACAGATTCTATGGTACCCATTTTTCTTCTGGTCATTTCACTGTTTTTTAAGCTGTGGCAGGTAAGAATTTCTATTAAATGGTCAAAATTGCAATTCACTGGAATTTTTTTATGCCAACGCTAAGTTCTAATTTTGACTCCTGCTGTCTCATTTTGACATATTGCTGTCTACTCATAGGATAAATAAGTAATCTGAGTTGTGTTTTTCTGCTGATTGGTTGTGACGTATAAAGACACCGCATGCATCTCTTGAAATTTGTGTTCAGTCCGATTCTGCCTCAGACATACGGCAACAAATTCAAGACTAATTCAAAGCTCCCCATGTAGGTAAAATGAACTAATTGCGTGCCATCTCGTTAGCTCTTTGCAAACAATAGGAGATGTACTCTGTGACAAACCACAGCATCTTCAGCAGTGAGGTACGTAATGAGACATCGTGTGTGTGCTCTTTCTTCTCGTAGGCAAGGCAATTTCCCTGCCATCAATCAGAGTGGTATTATGGGATCCAGCTCCCCCTACACTCAGCCGATGAACAACAGCTCTGGCTTGATGAACCCACAGGCTCCTCCTTACAGCATGGCACCTAACATGGTGAACAGTTCAACAGGTAATGGTGGGTAACCTTCCGGCAGTGGCCTTCCTCCGTAAATCTGCTTAAGGCTGGTGGCAGAGGGATAGCCGCCTTCACCCGATTCACCCCTGTCGGGTAGTTTGGAGTGATTCGAAACTAGGCTACGGTATTCGCATTTTTTTGTACAGTAACTCATACATTTTTCATTAAGTCCTTTTGCACAGCATGTAGATGAGTACAATATTTTGAACAGTTCCAGCAACACTCGGACCCAGTTTGATGTAGGTGTTGACTAGCAAGTGTATGTGTATTTGTGTGTATGTGCATGCAAGACAGGGAAGGAGAAAACCTCATCGTTATTTAAGAGGCTGCTGTTGCTTTTCAGTGTCTTACTTCCTAAGATTGCAATTTCAGATATTTAATACGGTACTGGTTTAAAAAAAGAGATGTGCACCTGCTCTGACTTAAGATGCTGTACGTTGAGTACTTAATTACTCTGTTCTGAAAACATAGGCCATATTTGTTTCCAAAATGCATTTAACCATATGTAGCGTTTCTTCATTTACTTATTTAAATATCAGTATATGAAATTTAATCATAGTTTCTTTTTGCAAAAAAAACTGTATTCAATGTAGCTGCTGAATTTATCCTTCATATCATGACTTGTGAATTCAGAATTATATGCAGCTTTGTTGTGTGACTATGAAGACAGGTGAATGTAGTTCTGTGCAGACATGCTTTATAGTCCGTATTCAGCTTGAACTCCTAACAATTATCCTCCACCAAGAGAATAACTCCAGTAAAGATCAATTCTTTGACTGGGATGGGTTTGGATGGAGTTTCAGTGACCCTGAAGTGGATCCTCCCAAATACTTACTCCAGTCATAGAGTTTCTGTGCATGCTTTTCTGATTACCATTAGCCCTTTTTGAAATGTTGGAAGTTTTCCTGAAAGCTGGATAGCTTGTGCTGAGGTGATTTGATGTTGTCCTAGTTGATTTTGGGTTCTACTTTTGTTTGTTTCTTTAGAGATGCCTTACTACTTAAATTGTATCTTACCAAGAGCCTGTGTTTCAGTATCCTCCTCTCTTGCCCCGCTTAGCCTGTTTCATTCCTTCATCCTTTGACTCCTTCCCTGTGCTTCCTCGTCAATTTTACATGTCTCTGCTTCCCAGGCAGAAAATGGCCACTGTGAGAGTCTCGTGTCTGGTATGTCCAGAGGGCTTCTTTCCTCTACACAGGAGCTCCTGAGACAAACTTAACAATGTCTCATTTTTCAAGAATATTATGTTACATTTTTGGTTAGCAGAAGAAACAGAAAGGAAGCTGTTAATCAGTAAGTTTTTTTAAAAAAATAAAAGAAATTTAAAAAAGGGGGGGGGCTGGAAGGGAGGAGGGGCTTTTTCCAGTGCTGACTTGGAAGCCCTTGGTTAGTCCAGACAGCACACTTCACTGTATGGATGCAGAGGGAAAAGCTATTGAAAAGACCATTAGATAATAGCTTGCTTTTCCCCCACCAGAGCTGTCCCAGGTAATATTCTGCTTTGTTTCTGTAGTTATGTGTTTTGTCTGGCTTGCTGAAATAAAATTACTTCTGAGCATTGAAACTGCTATAAATTCTGTTTTACTATTAGCAGAAGTAATTTTTCCCGCTTTTCCTTTAGCCCCCAGAGCTGCAAAAATAACCAACAGCAAACAGATGGCAGAGTGCCCTGCCTAAGAAGATTTATGTATTCCTAAGGAATAACCAGTTTAAAGGAAGATTCACAGAGGTTTTTTTGTTCAGATAATTCAGCCATTCGTTATTTCATACAGTGGAAATCTGTTCAATGCAAGGCCATTTATCCTAGCAGTCTTTTGTGTGGGGTAGTCATACTCTTTTTATTGTGTTATGCATTCTGAAATATTGGATTTTTAATAATTTAAACATTTATCAGGGCTTTTTTTCTGCCAATGCATTTGTGAGGTTTTCTTTTGTTCCAGTTTTATTAATTCAAAGATTACCCAATGGAAAGTAAGTCTGAGATGAACTAGAGGAGTTCAGTGCATCTCTTCTCTGTGTGTGAGCAGACATGCATCTAGATTGCTTTATGCAGCCGGCATAAAGAGAGCACACAGATGGTGTTGGTGCGGGGTGGGGGAGAAAAAGAGACAACAAGGTGTGAATATACTGCTGGGGGCACATGCGGTGGGAATGCTGCATTTCCCCCTACCCTGACTCATCTTTCTGCTTAGGTCAAAGAAATGAAGGGCTGAGCTTAAGACAAGTGTAAATACAGAACTTAAAGCGGTCATGTCTTGAGCTGGGGGAGCACGTCAGGGTCAGCTCTGTCCCTGCATTTGATGAGATGCGTTGGATGAGGTGGAGAAACTTGCAGGTGATACCTACTTTGGAGCTTGAAAACGGCATTTTCTGTGACAGTGACACAAAGACCAGTTCAGCTATCTGGCTCTTGAGCCTTTTGCCCCCAGCTAGTGTGAAGTCACACCTCTGTTGGATAAACCAGGCTTCGGTCAATGTGTAGGGCCAAAACCAAAAGCAGCTGAGTGGCTGCTGATGGAGTGAAGTGTGGGCATTGTTTAACTTGCTCACATGCACTGGGCATGAACAACTGTGGTTTAAATTAGAAGCCAATTAAAAACTTAAGGTAAGCAATAGGGAAAAGTTGGTTTCTTGGTTGTCTGGGGTTTGGAGAGTGCAGTTGCGTTGCCTGTTTTGAGGGAGGAAGATAGGTTTTGGTTATATTAATTTTAATCAAGTGCACTTTTAGGTTTTACTCTAAAATAGAGGAGAATTGCTGATGCTGATGGATTTGTTTTCATATGGTTTTGAAGCTTCAGTACAGCTAAGTATAACATTGGTTTTGCCACATGTTTTAAGTAGTACTTATAACTCCTTATTACCAGTTGATCCTTTTTTCCCTGTAGTTTTTTAATTAATGTCACAATTGAAAGGAAAATAGTGTTGCAGTTATGCATCCTGGTACTTCAGCAGTGACTGTGGATCAAACAACAGATTGCCAGCTTCTGCTGATGTAGAGCAGTTTAGGAACACAGAAATTATGAGATCAAAGAAGACAGATCCTTCTGATAGAGTATCCCATCCATAACAGTAACAAAAGCTTCAAGAAAAAGTGCCAGAATCCCTTCACAATTATGGAACAGTCTGCCATTCAGAAAAAATGTATAACCTCCACTGTCCTTTCATTATATGAGTTCACATTTCCCATATATATATTTTAGATTTCCCACTCCCCCCTATTTTTTAAATTCAGGCTTTAAAAATAGCTATAATAAAATGAAACTTAGAAACTCGAACATAAACAAAATAATAATTTCATGCTGTGAGCCTTGTTAATTGTAGTGAAAATTATCTTTAAAAAGAAGTAATATGGAGTTTGGATCTCACAGATTTCCATAGTGTGCTTGCACAGAAACTGGCACTCATAATCTCTGCTACCTGTGGAGGTGAACAAAATGATAAGAAAACATTAATCTCCTTACTGCCACAAGGATCCTTTCCTAATTTCACTACCTCTGTCTTACTGAAACCTTCCATTTTCTGGGTATTGTTATTCCCAGCGAATTTTTAACATCATAATACTTTACATGAAACATGAAGTTCTAGGAAAAGTTATTTGCACTGAAGGAATTAAAAGGATGCTCCTAAAATAACATGAAAAATAGATACAACACTTACCTTTTCATATAGATTATATGTATATTTGACTTTGTATTTATTTGGATGAACCTCTGATAGAGAAATCAATCATATTTGTGAATGTGAATTATTTTTTAGAAATCTTCATTGGCTTTCTCTGTTCTGCAGCTTGGTTACATAGAATCATAGTATCATAGAATAGTTTGGGTTGGAAGGGACCTTTAAAGATCATCTAGCCCAACCCCCCTGCAATGAGCAGGGACATCTTCAACTAGAGTAGGTTGCTCAGAGCCCCGTCCAGCCTGACCTGGAATGTTGCCAGGGATGGGGCATCTACCACCTCTTTGGGCAACCTGTGCCAGGGTTTCACCACCCTCACTGTGAAAATCTTCTTCCTTCTATCTAGCCTAAATGTACACTTTTTTCGTTGAGGCCCTGCTAAAAAGTCTGTCCCCATCTTTCTTCTAAGCCCCCTTTAAGTACTGGCAGGCTGCCATAAGGTCTCCCCAGAGCCTTCTCTTCTCCAGGCTGAACAACCCCAACTCTCTCAGCCTGTCCTCACAGGAGAGGTGTTCCAGCCCTCTGATCTTTTTTGTGGCCTCCTCTGGACCCGCTCCAACAGGTCCATGTCTTTCCTGTGCTGAGGGCTCCAGAGCTGGACACAGGGCTCCAGGTGGGGTCTCACCAGAGCGGAGTAGGGGGCCAGAATCTCCCCCCTCGACCTGCTGGCCACGCTGCTTTGGATGCAGCCCAGGATACAGTTGGCCTTCTGGGCTGTGAGTGCACATTGCCAGCTCATGTCCAGCTTTTCATCCACCAGTACCCCCAAGTCCTTCTTGGCAGGGCTGCTTTCCATCCCTTCATCCCCCAGCCTGTACTGATACTGAGGGTTGCCCTGACTCGGGTGCAGGACCCTGCGCTTGGCCACATTTTTCTGATAAAACCCCTCCATTTATTTCACTATTTTTTTGCTCCAACACGTATCTGCATATAAGCTGTTATATAACACACATTCAAATAAACTTTCTGGAGGATGTCAGCAGTTGGTAACAGCTGAAGTATCCCATCACCTATACTCCAAACAAGCAATAACTGTGATCCAGTGGTCACTGAGTGACTGTAAATCAAGCCAGCTCCTGGCATAGAGATGTCCGTGTCCCAAACCGCGTGCACTTGTCATCCCTTGGACAAGACTTGGTAGGCAGAAAGGAGGTGCGGCACTGAGGTCCTTGGTGGCCCACTCGTCCCTTTCAGATAAGGTGCCCAAGCACCCTGTGTTCTGCTTTTCCCAAGAGATGGACGGTCATTTGTGGCAGGACATTGGGCAATGCTGTTGTCCCTCTTCTGTTTTTCCTATGGGCATAAAAGCAGTTGGGATCCTCTTGCCAAATTCATGAGTCACAAATTTGCTGCTTTTTCTTCTTTTTTTTTTTTAAGAGGGAGAGTGCTAGGGGTGGAATGGAGGAAGGAATGTCTCACAAAGGATGTAATACTCTGTTTTGTAGAGTGTGATGCACTAGCAGTAAAGAGAAAAACAATGTTTGTGTATTGCTGCTCCTACAGTATTTCATCATCTTCTACAACTGATAGAGCAGCCCTTAGCAAAAAAGAAGACTTTGCTACAGTTTTACTCACGTCAGTATCTGCCTTTGAGTACGTTAAATTCGGTGTGGAATGGTTAATTCAGGACTGTGACCCATACTTGCTTTTGGAATCATCCTAGCTCTTAAATTCTTATAATAAGCCAGAGGCTAGTACTTGAAACCTATTCACAGTACACTACAACACTTTTTGAGTCAAGATTTCCCTGTTATCCTCCTCTCGAAAATGTTTTATCCTTTGGTCTGCACTTCACACGCAGAATTATTAGTACCTGTGTAGAAAGAGACAGTGTCTTATTTTAGCAGTTTCGTGACAATAACAGTATTTTAGTGCTCAGAAAGGGTCAAAACAATGTTCTTGCTGTACCACTTTGCTAAAAAAAGTGAAGGAAAGTCTGTTTGCGAATCTCTGGAGAGTATGTTTGCAAGAAGTTTTGAAACAGCATTTCAACAGTGGATAGAAAAGTAGCTGTGGAAACATCTTAGGTAAAAGCTATAGGGAAACTAGACAACCTTGCAATTTGCTAGTAAAATCCTTGCAGCTCTCCTCTTTTAGGTAGAAAGAAAAGATGTAGATGAAGTAAATAATTTAAAACAAAAAGTGAAACAGAATTTGGGGAACATTTTTTTCATAACTGTCTCCAACTCCTGATAGCTACTTGCATATGCCAAGAAAAAATATTCCAAAGCCAAAATGAATTGATAATTTTCTAACTGATTATTAATACAGTCAGAATATGTCTGGTAATTTGCAGACTAGAGTTACTTGCCCTTTACATGAGGTGTTAACTTCAACCTCTCTGGAAAAGAGATTTTAGAAAGGAATTCTGATGCAAACAGGACTACCAGGAATGAGCACAATTATTATATTCTTTGTGCCTACGATGTGCCAACCTAGTTAAGAGCAAGATACCAGCAGAGGATTTAGCCATGCAGGATTCTGGAGAAGAAGCGTGATCGTTAACTTTGCCTTGTTTGACCTCCCTAAAATTGCTTTAGAGGGGAAGGGTCATCTTTGGTTGCTTTGAAACTAAAACTAAGACTTCTTTTTTAGCGCTTTCACAGCATGAAATGTGTTAACTGTTAAAGTGGATTTTGTATAACAGTTCTGCATCCTAATTTGAAACCAGACTGTGGCATAGACTTGACCATTTTGTACATATATTTAAAAAAAAAATCTCTAAAAGAAAAAGAACTTTTTTTTTTAAACTCTGGAATTCAAAACTAAAACGCGTTAGGCTGCCATCCTTCACTTCATAATGGTCACAAGCTGCCCCGACTCCTCAAACGGAGTATAAGGGCAAAATGCACACGCATCAGATGCTTAGTGGATGCTGGCTTCCCGGTATCACATTGCTTGGCTGTTTCGTTGAGGTTTCACACACATACATAAAAATAACAGCATTTTTAGCTGATCCCAATAGATTTTTCTCTGCAGCTGCATCACTTGAAAAAGGCTTTTTGTTCCAATTCTCAAAGTCTTAAGTATTGGAAGTAATTTTTTAAATTTTTTTTAAATCTCAATCATGATTTATGTGTTGTGATGACTTTAAGGGCCTGATTGGGCTACAAATGTGCTTTGAAAAAACAAGAAAATGTGCCTATGAAAAACACCAGCAGTTCAAAGCTGAATATTGAGCATACAGTTGTAAACTCACACGGCACATGGTTGGGTAGGTTTTTTTGGCAGACCCGTAGTCTCAACCTGCAGTGATGCTAAAGATATTAGCAAATTAGCACTGCAAAGCTTGCCAGCGTATTCACCAGAGTCCTGCTCATGCTCTCACTGCTGTAATTAAAACTAATTATTTTCTAAAACATAGTAATACATGAATATGTGCAATAATCATTTTGTAGTGGGCAATCTGTGAAGTATTTTTAAAGCTTCTTTTCCCCCTCCTCTCTTTGGCTTGCTATGCAGTGTGCCTGCTGCCTAGTGCGAGCCAGCATTGTCGTTTTGCAGAGAGGCACACTAGTCTGGTAATGATCAGATTTTTTAAATTTTTTTAAACAATGATGCTTTTCCAATTCTTAAATTTTGTAAGTTTGGGAAATGTATTTTTTCCTTTTTATTGCCTTGTAGGTTATTCTAGCCTGTGTTTTTCTTAGCTCAGATTCTTCTTTGAAAGAAGGGCATGAGGGGCCGAAAAAAGGGAGAGGAAGGGAAGAGAATCCAGTCTTTTGTAAGTGCTGTGCACATGGTTTTCTGCAGGGAAGGAATCACCTGGTGTCTTGCTGTTCTCTGGTTATTTGCATTGATTCAGTGTCATGGCACCTTCTAGCATTTGATCTGCCCAGTATTTTCTGTACATTTATCTGAATTTTTCTCCTTGCATCTTTCTAGAAATCCAGGAACCCAGCAGTTCTGCAGCAATAATACTATACTTAGCACGTGCATCTTCAAATAAAAAAAAAACCAACACCTTAAATTCCTCACGCCCCTGTGAAGCGACTGCGTGCCATTATCAGAGAAAGACATTTGTGTGTTCGTTATAGTCCCATCTCATTTTGGCAGGAGGGGAAGAAGTTGAATGCTGTTTCTCCCACGGAGTGGAGTTCACAGCTTTTAATTCTTTAGTTAAGGCTCACAGTGGCTGAGCCATTCATGCTGAAGCCGATAGGGGCAGGAATGATCTGCTGGACACCAACCTTAAAATATAGACATAATTGGGAAATTCAGCCTTTTTGTTGGATTCAACATTGCAAGCAAAATGCGCATCATTTTCATTTATGTTTGTCTGTTGCTAAAGGGAAGGTGCAATAGTTACTAAAATAGGCTGTTGTTTCGTTAAAATGTAGTGGTCGAACGTGGAGACAGTTGAAGACCACCAGCAGCATGAAGAATGAATTTAACTTTCTGAAGTGGTTGTTGTTGTTGCATGGTGCTTGTATTCTCGCCTCGTTTGTTCTCTTTTATTTCCTCACTTCAGCTGAAGAGGTTTCCAGGTTTCCGGATGCTAGAATAACAGGACAGAGGTGGGATAACCTCTGCTTCACGTGGCACCACAATCTTGCAGCAGGAAGCGTGTTTTTTCCTACAAAGCCAAACATAGTCATGTTTAACTGTTTCTCCTGTTTTCGATTAGCACCTATGGGTCTTGCAGATATGATGACACCCGGTGAGTCCAAACTTCCCCTTCCTCTCAAAGCAGATGGCAAAGAAGAAGGAACCCCCCAACCTGAGAGCAAGTCAAAGGTATTTGCCACCTCCGCACGTGGTGTTGGTTCAGCCCGCAGAAGTCTGCTGTGTTGTCCTTCATCTTCTGGTTTTGGCCTACCCACTTCTGTTCTTTCCTGCATGCCTTTCCATTCACGTGCAATCTCTTTGTTCGTTTCTTTTTTTTTTTTTTTCTTTTTTCCTTCATTGTGTGGATCTGAAAGTTACTAGTTCTTACGGCATTTTAACTTGCGGGGGCAAAGCAACCCAAGCCAAAAGTTGCGTGGGGATTCGGCTGTGCCAGGTGGGAGGGAAAGAAGGGTCTTGCCTGGTTTCAATACTTGCAGCCATTTTTCTCTGCCTTCAGTTATAGCTTCCTGTTTTGGCCGCCTCAGCAGCAGCAACATACTTTAATATTTTGCTTTCCTGCCTTATTTAATAAAATAAGGTGAACAGCTTGTTATTTTTCTTTCTTTCATAAGGGGAAACCCATGCTTAGCATTCCATGTGAGCTTGAAATAAGCATGGTGGCTTAGTGACTTTAGCCAAGCATCCAGCAAACTTTCCAAATTATACTAATTAACAATGTTGTTTTAATACCTTTTATATATATATAAATATATTTATATATGTGTGT